CACCATAAGATGGCGACAAAGGAACGTCACCATCTAAAAATGGATAATTAACAATAGGAAATGAAAAATCATCTCTTTTATCATACATTTTGGTATCAAGCTTCCAGTTAAAGATAACGATATCAAGATCCAGGAAAGGGCAGTGTTCATTGTTAGTAATAGCTTTATTTAAAGTCAGTTTGGCAGGATAAATCTCTTTAGTGTACATACTGAAGTCGTCCTTATTGAGAGCCAATATATTATCTAAATATCTAAAAGTGTTATCAAATTTTTTAATCAGATGTTGTTTCGATGGGTCTTTGCTGATTTTAGTCATAAATAGTAACTCATAACAATACAGAAACAGGTCTACAATAAGTGGTGCACAGTTAATCCCCATGGAAATTCCGATAACCTGACGATATACGGAATCTCCATTACGAACAAAAATGTTATCTAGTAAAAATTCAAGGGCAGGTCCAATTGACATAGTTCTTTTGTTTGTTGTTACTAAAAAATGACCTAAAAGAGTTTGAACATATATATTCGCATTCCGACTTTTTAAATGCCCATTTAATAAGGTGTGTGATTTTTTTCTTAATTAGATTATGAGGCAACGTGGTATATAGGGTAGAAAAATCAAAACTTTGAACAGATTCGAAATCACCAATATAAGCATGCAATTTATCAAGTACTTCCAACGAATTTTTGACACTCCAAAAGTAATTATTTCCACTATTTTCAAAGGCCTTATTTGAACAATTTATTACCAGGTTTTTGATTGTACCAAGTGTACTAGAAAGTAGAATAGATAGTTTAGCAGTGGAACAATGGCTTGGAGACGAAATAAATCTATATTTGTAAATATTTTTGTGCAGCTTCGGAAGCCAGTACATAGTTGGAACTTTCATTGTATTTGGTTCTGCTTGTAAAGAGGTTGCTAAAAGTTTATGTTTGTTACAGATGTCATTTTCCGAAAATGGAGTCAGTTGGAATGTTGGTGAATTCGTGATTTCCTTTTGTAGAACATCAATGTAAAACAATAATGATATTGTTAGCAGCCTTATCAGCCGGGACAAAAATATATTCCTTGGCGAGTTCTTTTAGCTTATGTTTGATACGGGAAATTGGGCTATTATGGTTGTTGTTAGGAGTAAAATGATCTTTAAAATGTTGAATACGTATATCAACTATTTTCATTACCGAATTAAAAAAAGAATCTAATGATTTCTTGTCAGCTTTTTCTCGTTTTATCCATTTAGAGCAGTAAGTACGGATTGAGTCGTGGATAATGTTACGACACTCATTCCAATTAATAATTGACGGGTGACGATATTTAGGTCCTTTACTGAGGAATGATTTCAACTCTTGGTCACGAACGATGTTAAGGTCTCCTGTTATAACATGGGAACTGGGGCCATAAATGTATTCGGATTTACTGCAATTTCATGAGGTAGATGTATTGTCACTGATATTAACATCTTTACACACTTCGCTGTAAACAAACACATATTTCCGTGTAGATTTTTTGTAAACATAACAAATAAGAGGGAGTTCAGTATTATCAAAATAGCCAGGAATTTGTTCTTTAACAGAATGATCATTAAAAATACCGGCATTATTTACAAAATCAAAACCTTTATTGACATATTTAATTTTCATAAAATGTTTTTTGTGATCTTCAGGGCGATCAATTTTTGAAAACAATTTAGAATAACAATATGCAATTATGATTTGGACGATTTCATACTTAGGACTGCAATATGGAATTGTGTTATCATGTTGATAGTAGAGGAATATATAAAACTGTTGCATGTTTTTTTTTATGAGTATTAAAAAGACTCCTTAATATTAAAATTCCAATAGGTCTTAACAACTTTATGTTTCTGAACATGCGAGTGAAACAAATTCAGGATAAATTGGCTCTTCTCCCATTTTCAATTATAATAGGTGTAACCGATTCTTCCTTTTATCACACATTGTCAAATATTTTTAAAATGCATACAAACAAAAGTTTCATGTTTTTCATACATTTCAACCATTAATCTTTTTGTAATTACATCATATAACTTCATATAGAGTAACACTATACTTATCAATCATAAGAAGTTTGACTTGATACAATAAAAATAATTTTTACAACGGTCATTCACATTAAAAGTGTGAAAAACATTACATTTTCATGTATTTGAATGATTAAAACCAAGCTCTTAAACTACAGGCTAGATAAGAGATTGCACTTTAAATATAGACAATGCAATTAATTTCCTATAGGCACTCCTTTAACGGCTTAAACTGTTCCATTTTAAAGTAAAGTTTCGGAAAAAATTATATCCTGGAATTGAAATTTCACATGCACTACTATTTTTTTGCAAAGGTCAAAACATAGTCATAGGATTGTGCTGCATATTTTCAACATTTATATGCCTCGAACTTCTAAGTGCTTAAACTTAGACTAAAACTGTACTATCCCTCCCTTTATGTTGAGTCTTCCTGAGACCTCTATCCAACTGTATTTAAACTGGGAAAATTCCAAAGTTGTGAATCTTTGAGATGAAACATGGAGATCGTATCATGGAACCAGTAGGTAAACAAAACAATTTATCTATGAATATTACACCATTTTGAATTTATAAATGTTATAAATGACTCATAGTTCAGTTCTCAGAATGAATTAATTACATGACATCCCTTATATATAGCCTTTAAAATACGATGTGAGCTTGTTTGGCGTTTTGGGGTTTTTAATGCAAGTGCGTCGGCAGTTATGTACAAATTGACGACAGGACATTTCATTTGAAAATTGATTGATGCCTTGAACTTTTTGTGTGAATTAAATCTGATTCCAAATTGTAGTGAATTTATTTTGTGTTCCCTAGCCTGAAAAAAAATATGTTTGTACTTGAATGAACAAAAATACAGTCCTTGTAATCAGTCATAAAAGTTCAAAAACTTTGTTATCTTTAATCTTGCAGACTTGGAAAAAAAGGGATAAATGCAGGTGCCCCTGAAGGATAATCAGTTGTTCCCGTTTCACATGAGGCCCCTGTCGTGTTGCCTGTGGTTGGAAAAATCTGTTGATGTTCTGTATTCAGTGATCTCACAAACGAGAAAAGAGAACGTGATTGTTGCTCATGTAGTCATATGTGATACATATATTCCAGAACAGTCAACCGCATCATGACAGCGTCCGTAAAATATTCGAACAGACGGCTTCAACTTTGGTGTAATACATATATTTAGTTCTCATAAATATATGAAGATTAGTTGTAAAATCTGCATATAAACTGAGGTATAAATCCGTTAGCGTTACCAATTTTACTGGAGCAGAAAGACATGGTATATTTCATTTATTATTTTTAAGTTTCAAAATATCAAATTTAAAAAAGAAAAACTGCGATGTGACATTAATAAACATGAAATGCATGTAATGATGATGTATTGTCTAAAATTGTCAGAAAAAAGCAGTGTAAAAATTAAGAAATACAAACTGATTTTCAACGCTTCCTTAAGATTAAAGAATTCGTTGCAGCAAATTATTGAGGAAACCGTAGGTACCATATTGCAAATAAAAAATTCTATCCTATCCGACCTACCCTCATTTTCCAGTGGCAGTAAAATCTTTCACCCATCATCCCTGTCAACAAACTTTGCAGAACCAAACTTTTGTATTATTTGTAAATGTGTTCTGGTCTTTAAAAATAAAGAGAGAAGATACCGAGGGGCATTCAAAAATTCAAAAAGTAAAAAAAAAAACAACAAAAAACAGACAATACCATGGCTTAAAATCAAAACTACGAAGTAAAAGACAAACAAAATAACAAAATATCATATAGAAACTAAAGACTGAGCAACAAGAACCCCATCAAAAAAGTGAGGGTGAACTCAAGTGCTCCGAAAAGGTAAACAGTTCCTGCTCCAAATGCTGCATCTATCGTGTTGCTTAAGTAAGTAATTAGCTTTTGGTAATGTCACAACCAAAAAGAAGAGGACGGGATTGTGTTTGCAACTAATAAAACATATCAGTTGTCATGATTAACACAGTAATTCCATAATGGTTAACTTAACCATGATGACGTCCGTAAAACTTTCGAAGGGATGTCATGTCTTCAACGTTACCACCTGGAACCCTTGATGTAATAGCTTCTTGTAAGCAGTAATATCAAGTTATCATGAAAGGAAATGCTAGCCCTTGACTATCGTATTAACCGAGAGATTATTAAACATTTTACTCCGTATGCAGGTGATATATGTTTGTCACTTGACGTTCAACAAACAAAAATCACTCAGACTAAACTTTACTTATTAATGTCTATTTGAACTGTTAAGACAGAGTATAGTTCATGCACCAATGGAGAAATTATGTATTTCCAAATATATTTCAGCGCACTTAAGGCACAAGTTAATACGGCCAATTTGAAATAAACTTCCCCTATATAGGTATCAAAATATGTCGAAGTTTTAGAATTATAATTTTTCCGTTGATGGAATGATTTATAATATCCAAGCAATAAAATGATTAAATTTGACTGAAAATTCAAAATCCATTACTTGCTGACATTCATACAAAGAGACAGAAGACACAAGGGAGGAAACAAAAAAATCCTAAGTCCTTTAAAAAGAGATAACACCATGGCCAAAACGAAAAATATTACACAGAAAACTAAAGATTGAGCAATACGAACCCACCCACAAAACGGGAATATACTCATTTGTTCCGGAAGGGCAAGCAGGTCGTGCTCCACTAGTGACATTCGTCGCGTTATTCATTACCAGAAACAATATGGTTGAAAGTCGAATTTGGTTATATCACAATCGAAGAAAAAGGACGGAATTGTGGTTACGACAAGTAGATTTCTGAAGATCGGACCGCTTCCGTTTATTAAGCATTTTCGTTCTTACTATTGCGTCCACATTCACAATTTACGGTATAGTTTTATTCATTTATTCACGTGTTTACAAATGAATATAATTTGCGTGAATGTGCTTATGTGTTATAATGGATGACAATATATTCTTACCCATAATTTTGGCTACCGGAATGTATGTTGCATCTCTGTCTACAATAATCTGTCCATAAAAAAGAGAAACATGATATTGCATATAATACTTAATTTAAACTGACTTTTAAAGTATATTTAGAAAATCGTTCAAGGTAATTAAATGCTAAACATAAACATATGTATCTACTTTCGAATTGGGTTCTTTGAATGCATTCCAATTTTATAATGTTGCTCTATTATTAATTGTTTCGGCAATCTATTGTTGTTGAATGAAGAGTTGTTTATGATATAACATAGTCTATTAATAATGAATATGTGGGTTTAACGTCCACGAGACAGGAAACCAATATAATGTAAACAAAAAATGTTTAGAATGTGTCAAAGACTTAAGTGGCCGAGCTGAAATACTTAATATTCGTAATTTGAAAGGCCCTATTCATATGCGTCCGCAAAAATAGGTGTGTATCTTAAATGTACAAAATGTATATACGAACATTCCAAAATTTTAAAGACCTGAGGTTGAAAACTGTAAGAGGAGTCGATTGCACAGAACAGGTATCCTGCTTTCATCGTCTGATTGAGAGCACGTCCATTCGCCATAGTTTACGCATAATTTCTTGCTAGCCATCTCGAGGTTACTACAAGATTTTTTACAATTGAGAAGTGCCCAAACTGCATGAAAAGCTGTTTAACCGAGTTTCTATTCGCTGTCAATGAATTTAACAGCAGGTAAGAACAAATAGCTGACGTCAACATCAAATAAAATAAAACATAAACAGATAGCTAGAGGTATAGGGGGAGGGTTGAGATCTCAAAAAACATGTTTAACCCCGCCGCATTTTTGCGCCTGTCCCAAGTCAGGAGCCTCTGGCCTTTGTTAGTCTTGTATCATTTTTAATTTGAGTTTAGTATGACGTCCATTATCAGTGAACTAGTACACTTATTTGTTCTGGGGCCAGCTGAAGGACGCCTCCGGGTGCGGGAGTTTCTCGCTGCATTGAAGACCCATTGGTGGCCTTCAGCTGTTGTCTGCTCTATGGTCGGGTTGTTGTCTCTTTGACACATTCCCCATTTCCATTCTCAATTTTAGCTACAAGCAGTGACGAAATAACCGACTTGTGACGACATTGTTTTGTCTACATTTGACTCATAAGTGACGCCCAAATCAAACATTTAGAAATAAATTTTCAGAATCTACAGGACTATGGGTAATCTCATTGTTCGTACACTAATATGAAAGTAACGTTACGTCATTGGTTGAATTTCGATTGTATAGGCCGTTTTTAACCAATCACAACGTTGTGGTGTACGAATTAAAACAAAATTACCCAGAATGCAAGTGGTTGTAAAAACATCATCAAATATACCAGACTTATAATTTAATACGCCAGACGTGCATTTCGTCTACATAAAATTAATCTGTGGCGCTCGAATGAACCCAATTGGAAGGCCAAAGCAATTAGAAAGTTGAGGAACATTTGAAACCAAAAATTAAAAAAAAAAACATTATGCCAACTCTGGTTTAGGCCATCTAAGCCTGGGTATAAAACAGTAAATCTGGCAAGTATCAGGAATATTATCTTACCTCGGAGCGAACGCCTCTTTCTTAAGCAAAATGTAAACAGAAAATATGTTCGTTTTTTAACATTATGCATATTTTAAACTTAAATATTGAGTTTTAGATGGAATATTACGTAGATTAAATTCTGAGGCAAAGTTTCTTCGGAAAATGCCTGTACCAAGTCAGGAATATGACAGATGTTTTCCACTGGTTTCTTCAGTTGATTGATAACTTTTGATTTTGCCAGTTTTTATGGACTTCCCTTTTTGAATTTACCATCTAGTTTGGTATTTTTGTTATACTTTTTTTTTACTTCTTCTAAAATTCCTTTAATCAAAAATTTATATAAACAATACCTTCTTACTATCCTGTTTATGTCTTTTATTACATCGACAACAAACAGCAATGACAATAGCTATCACTAATGACAAGATGATAACCACTGTGGCAACAATATCACCGACCTTGAACTCTGTGTCATTCATTCTGTAAACATAAATCAATTTAAAAAGCATAAACATTTTAAACAACATATAAAAAAGATACACCTTAAACTAACAAACCGAAAAAAGGGAATTTGAAATTATACAAATATACATTTTTTTTTTAAATACGGTATGACATTCTAGTTTATGTTCGTTTTCTAGTTTATGATGCAGAGAATTACTTTGACCAAATTACATAGTTAAAAAAGGTTTTAAAAGGGTTACATATTATCTTTAAAATGATCATTTATATAGTTATAAATACCCAGTTTCCAGTGATTGCTAATGGGGATCTGATAAAAACAAATCCATTGAAAAAATATTTTTAAAAGCTAAAACTTCGACGAAATAAAGGCAACAGTAGTATACCGGTGTTCAAAAGTCATTTTTTTTTAGGTTAATAACCCAAATGGTATCAAACATGACCACCGCTTAATAAAAATGAGGAAAAAATTGCATCACAGCATATTGTATTGTACCCGTAGTCAATGTTACTGTGTTACACACTTTAATGTATTTTTGCGGCTTTTATTATTAAACGGAATGGATACACAAATGCACACAATTTTTTTTCTCTCGATTTTTGAACTTTTAGCTTATGAAATTGAGATAGTTCAAGATTAAATAGGTAACTGGCTTTTTAAAATCAAACAATAGCCCACTATTTATCATTCAAAAGAAGACAGACGTACAACTGTACTAATAAGTACTGAGAGGTTAACATAACCAGTGGAGTCTTGTAACCTACCAACTTAAAAAATTAAAATAGATATAAAACATGAAAAGAAATTTAAAACTGTTTAACGGAACACAATTAACGTTGTTCTTTCTACTCAGAAAAAAAATAAGTTTTAATACTAATGCTATAAGAGATGCAATTCTGATTAATATAAATAATTTCTCATAAAGAAAAAATGGTATATAATACGTCCGAGTTCATTTGTCAACCTGAGTATGAGGGTCTGGATGGGGGTCCTTCAATTCTGTATTCTGTAATTTTTTAGGCCATTTTTCTTTATTCTTTATATTTTTTGCCCATTATTCTCTATTCTTTATTTTTCAGCACCTCATTATTCTTTTCTTTTATTTTTTTGGTCCATTTTTCTTTATTCTTTATATTTTTTGCCCGTTATTCTCTATTCAGTAAACCCCCTCCACACCCTCAACTATACCTGTAACAATGACCGCCAAATTTACATTCAAACGTGCACACAACGAGATTGTAAAATGCAAAATGACATATTGCTGATAGAGAAAGGAAATAGTCTTCCCCAAAACAGAATTGAAGATTATTATCTTCATATCAAATGCGGATTCGTAGATTTCACATCTTTATGCACAACGTATGTAAAAAACTACGATTAACTAAATATATTGTAATATATCTGAAAACAACAGCATCTACCATTTACATCAACATGATTTTCAAAACGTACTATAATTTGAAATTTTAATGCAACACTTTTTGAGCGTATGTTAGAAAGAGCGCAAGACATTTTAGCTAAATCATAAGCGTGACAATGACATCATTTGGGCTAAACAAAATTGGGTCAAATTTACGGTGACTGTCTTCCCGATTGTCCCTTTTTTAAAAATAAAACAAAAACAAAAATACAATCACAATTTGCAAATAATGCTATTTTGAAAAGAAAAGGAATTGGTGCCAGTTTACACCATTTTATGGATGAGATCAGGTAGTACGACAAGGTTACAGTTTTAAAGAATGTTAGCTTTAAATTCAGGACCACAACAAATCTCTGAGAACAATCGATAGACAATTTTCATATTACACCGATTGTAACTTTGATTGTTCATCTTTTAGGTACTCTTACTTGACCGAGTACCAGAATGTCCTAGCACCCATGAGGTAACCTGTCGAAAAATTGTATACTCCGGGGTCAAAAATCGGTTATATAAAATAGTCTATTGAATGTAATTCTTTTATATCTTAACCTAGATGTTTTACACGTGCACGTTATGCATTATTTTTTTATTCAGTGCTGTTAAGACTCATCTTGATTAAAATAACACTTCCACCTTACGTGGGGGCTGAAAGCAAACACTGTCTGGCAAACGGAAGGGTTATATAAAACATAAATATGTTAAAAACCTGTATTTTACCTGTGCATGGCAGGATTACCGTAGCCTAAATATAGACTTTGAAATTTAGCCCAAATGTTGACTTGCGATTGACTTAAATGTATCATATTTTCAGCCCAAATATTTCACCAACTAACACAATCGTGCATCTGCAATTAGATAACGCTTCAGGTTATCATTTCCACAATTGATAATTTGAAATTGTGCGCGATTTCCAGCGTAGATGAGTATTATATGTGAGCTGGCATTAAAATTGAGTATTGCATTTGAAGATTTGCGGCATCAATTTTGATTATTTGTTTACTGGCTCCCGCTGACGCCATGCAGTAAACTCACTTTTCGGCAAATCGAATTGCAAATTGATGCCCTCAAATCTTGAAATATACCTCCTTATCTCATGAATGAAGGTATTCTGAGCAAGGAAAGTTAGTCCTGCACAAACATGCAATGAAACATTATATGCTGATAAAAATATACAAAAGCAAAAACTGAAATTCATATCTTATGTTCCAGTTGGATAAATAATAAAACCCCAACTTACGTTTTCGAACGACTCCAAAAAATTCCAAATTTCATGCAAAAATTTGTACTCCTTGCATTTTGAGGTTTTTGTTAAAATTAACAAATTATAATAGTTCAATCCTTCATAAAGAAGACAATTGGAACAATCCCTGTCTAAATAGAAACATTTTTCGGCACATCCACGCGTCGAAGACATGATTATTCTGTATATATGCAAGGTTGGTTATTTTTAGAACAATTATACAGGGTTTTTACCTATGTATCAGGTATTTAATTAAGCGAAGCTTTTGTTTGTGTATTGAACATACAACACATGTCAATGACCTACATAACTATGATATATTATGTCAATACTTGTATCACCTTAAAGAAATCTATTTCCTTATATTCACAAAGTGAAAGATTTCACGTTTCGTAAAAAATATTTTGTATTATCAAATCGATTATATCGACAAAAATGCTGACGAGGCATTCTTTACATTTAAACGAATTGATCTTACTAATAGCCATGTGTATGCAGAAGTACATTCCAGGCATAAGTACACCTACACTTTCATCTAAGTATTTCGAGACAACAAATTAAAAGAAAAATTGAAAAACTAATTTATCATGTTTATTTTTTTGCCATCACTGGGTGTCCGTTGTCCGTTGACATTTTCCATGACTAAATGTTAATTCTTTTTAATGTATTTCCCTCATCAGCTAAATTTTTTTCAGTGGTGATGTGTGGAGACTCATTACAAAGATTTGTAGTTTCGTACTGATGGATTGCATACAAATTTATGCCTTTTAATTAAAAAAAAAACAAAAAACTCTTTCTTTTTATTTTTAAACTTTTTTATTCGACTTATGAGTTTCAATTTTGACTTATAGTATAATGTACTTTATGCTAGTTTTATTACATAATGATCGATGGCAAGCCGGTTGACTATAAGAAAGACCTCGGTTTAGACGGATTGGTTGATTGATGGTTGCTTAGCGTACACTGGCATATATTCCATGCATGTTCAGGACGAGAACAAATTACCAATGAATACAATAAGTAGATCCTTGAATAGAGGCCGTCCGGGATGAAGATCGGGGAAATTTGGACTGCCACTGGGAAATGGGGGTATACTGGATTGGGCAAGAAATGTTACCGTGCAACAGGCTACCAACAGGCCCCTCATCGAGTTGTTGCAAGGATTCTTAACGTACAGAGAGCGTAGCGCCTTTTCTACTCGAGGCATTGAATTCAACGTCCCTATTCTGACCAGAAGTGGCAATGTATTTTTACATCCCCCACATTCAAAAAGACGCCCCACTTTGGCAGGGGTTTGGCTACCAGTAGGGAAAAGACCAAAGTGACCATATTTTTATTCCCCGGTCACCTTTGAGGTGCACGTTAGACGGACGTTCTACTTGTTAACCGTGGCACACCTGGTGTTTTCTTTCCTCATAGAAAATAATTTTTATAATTTTTGCATACCATATCATACATGTCATTTCGACCTGCAATATTCTGTGGTTTTACTTACAATACGGGACAGTATTCTATAACATTTTTTTTTTTTTTAGCATAGTGGAGTGATCCAGCGCTCAGTTACAGACTATGTAAGACTATGTAAGATTTTATCATGTATAATCCAATGAGCTGTAAAGCTTATAATAAGCTAATATAAAAGTATACATATAAATTTACGATAACAATTAAATAAATTATAAAAAGCCCAAATCATAATAGATATAAGAAGATGTGGTATGAGTGCCAATGAGAATACTCTCCATCCAAGTCACAATTTGTAAAAGTAAACCATTATAGGTCAAAGTACGGTCTTCAACACGGAGCCTTGGCTCACACCGAACAGCAAACTATAAAGGGCCCCAAAAATGACTAGTGTAAAACCATTCAAACGGGAAAACTAACGGTCTAATCTATATAAAAACGAGAAACGAGAAACACTTATGAACCACATCAACAAACGACACCTACTGAACATCAGATTCCTGACTTAGGACAGGTGCAAACAAGTGCAGCGGGTTTAAACGTTTTAATAGGTACCAACCTTCACCCTTATCTGAAATAATAGTGTGACATCACAACATAGAAAGACACACTATAAATATATAATGTCTTGTTAGTGTTCAAATAAATGTGTACCGTTGGAATATCTAGATTCTATTGACATTCGTAAGAAATATTTAAATGTTAGTGACATGTTTGACTTATTTTCTAACAATCTTTGTTAAAGTCTTGTTTACTAAATAAAAAAAAAACAAATGGCATTTGTTATTAATCGAGATGAATTGTTTGATATTGTTTTGAGTACTTTAGAAGGATGTGCATGTATGGTAAAAACAGTTTTTGTCCCTGAATTACGAGTCAAATTATTCAATCCTTTCAAAATGTTGTCATATCTTATTATTTTATTGAGAATTTCAAAAAAAGTTATCACTTCAGTACATAAATGTCATTTGTGATGTGTTAGTATATGACTTATGAAGCATGATATTTAATTTTCCTAGTAGTCAGTGATTCGTGACGGTCACTGACATGATTTAAAACATAAGTTTCTTAAATTTTACTTTAAAAGATTTAGAAATTATTAAAGGGGCATTAGCTGTCAAATTCATGTTCACCGATTTGACTAAAATTGTCATATTTGATTTATAACATACTAAAGCGTATATCCAAATTACAAAAAGTCAACAACAATTAACAATGCATGGATTCGGTTACATGTATCAGCATTTCGTGTGTATTTTTGTCTAGACGTCATCTAATTAACCATCGAGGTGACTTCTGAAGACTGCCGATGGTCATGTAACCCAATATAAACATAAATATAAATATATAAAGATAGCGACCACGTGCAATTAGATTTTTCTGGGTATGTTTGATTTCATTTTGTAAGTTAAAAATTATGTTGATCATCGTTTTTACCTGTATAAGAATGATTTGTTTGTGGATCGAATAAGTCAACCAAATGATTCATCCTTGTTTCACTTTCAATGTTGACATTATTTTCCTTTCAATAGCTAAATACATGCGTAATCCATCTCCAGCTAAGGGGTTAAATTGAAGGTCATATGAATACGGATTCAATGAGGTCGAATTATTCACTTGTAAGCGAATAATTCATCAGCGATGTTTCTTAGCTTATTTTGACAAAATTGAACCAAACTGGCTGCTAAAAGCGAATTATTATTTCACTGTTTCACTTTCATTAATGATAGAACAAAAACAAAATCAGATTTTTTTTATATATATATATATATATGTATCTTGTAGCTAATGCCCCTTCAAGAAAACTAAGGTTCTAACTACTAACTACCTAAGGCAATGTTGACACTAGATGATATGGCTTTTATTTTTAGTCCAGTTTGAGAAATATTATAGTTCTCGAGTACTTATTCATCCTTGCTTTTAAAGTTATGGTTTTGAGCGTTCCTTGTGAAGGTTAATCCAGAAAGGACGTACCAAATATATATAAAGAGTTTTTTTTTATTGTTGCGTTTTTTGTCGATATAGATTGCAAATATATATAAAAATACGAAGATGTGATATGATTGCAACTGAGACAACTCTCCACCAGCGACTAAATGACGTAGGACACTGTACGGCTTCAACAATGAGCAAAACCCAAACCGCACAGTAATCTTTAAAAGGCCCCGAAATGACAAATGTAAAACAATTCAAACGAGAAAAAAAAACTGCTTAAATGTACACTAAAAAAAGAAAAAAACTTTTGATACAGCAACAAACGACAACCACTGAATAACAAGCTCCTGATTTTGGACAGTCACATACAGAATAAGGCGGCGTTTGTAAAATGCAATTTCTTAATATGTAAAATGTAATTTCTTAATATGTAACATGTATTTTTCCATCCGTTTCATGTATTTCTACATTTCTTGATTTGTGAAATATAACCTCTTAATGTGCAAATGCATTGAATTTCTTGATTTGTTAACGTATTTTCTTCGTTCGTTACATAAAATTCTACATTAATTAATTTGTGAATGATATGTCTTAATTTTTTCAATTAAATTTCTTCATTCTAAATCGTAACTATGAAATTATATTTTTTTTTAATTTGTAAAATGGTATTTTTATGTTTGTATAAGACGTGTATTTGTTTTTTCAATCAAAATATTAAAACTCTCTATCTGTGAAATGTAAATTCTTGGTTTGAGTCACGTTTTTGGAAATGTATCAATGTAATTGTTACCACTGACAGCCAATGAGAAGTTCCGTTTCTCAAGAAAAACTACAAGTTACAAATCAAGAATGAAATAAAAAATTCCGCACGTGGTCGCTGTTATGGGTACACGATAACTCGTACCGTTGCCAATTCGTACTCGACCAACTCGTACCCAAAATTTACCAACTCGTACCCAATATTTACCAACTCGTACTTTGACCAACTCGTACCTGTACCAACTCGTACCCATTTTTTTTAGCATTAGTATTTTTCATTTAGAATTAGTTAAGGATAAATCGAAAATGTTATTCTTATTTTGTAATTGATCTAGTAGTGATAGGATTTTTTAAACTTTAGTTAAAAAACCATGTTTTTTAGTGCAGCATAAAAGTCTTTTTTTAGGAAGTAACGAATTCATAAGTTTTCATCCTTGTTGGTAAATAAGAACACTATTGTTTCAGAAAAGGGTGAAGGTTTGGTACCATTAAAACGTTTAAACCCGCTGCATTTGTTTGCACCTGTCCTAAGTCAGGAATCTGATGTTCAGTAGTTGTCGTTTGTTGATGTGGTTCTTAAGTATTTCTCGTTTCTCGTTTTTTATATAGATTAGACCGTTGGTTTTCCCGTTTGAATGGTTTTACACTAGTAATTTTTTGGGGCCCTTTATAGCTTACTGTTCGGTGTGAGCCAAGGCTCCGTGTTGAAGACCGTACTGTGACTTATAATGGTTTACTTTTATAAATTTTGACCTGGATGGAGAGTTGTCTCATTGGCACTCATACCACATCTTCTTATATCTATATATGGAACATCATCACGATCTTGAAAGCTCCATAAAATATTGGAGAAGGACATATATCTTTTTGGTATCACAAAGCCAGCACATGAATTTAAAGTCTAAATGTTTTTACATATACATTTTATTTAGATATTATAACAGAGAGGAATTATGATTGCAAAAGAGAGGCGAGGATACCTAAGGGACATTCAAACTCATAAGTCGAAAATAAACTGACAA